GGGGGGGGGGGGGGGGTTGTGTAGGCTTATATTCTGCCAATGGGCTGACAATATAAATACAACCCAACTTCAGAAGTTAAAAAAAAATGCTAAAGAATTTCTACTCACTAAACATCCGGGCAATGCAACACACTTTACAGTTGTGTTTCAAGAACAATCTATAGTGTGAAGTGTTAACACAGAATCCAGGAAAGTTACCAGTGTAATCTGCAATAAGTGACTGGCAAAAGCAGGGCCAAAACCAATTCTTGCTGAAGGCTTTTAACTGTTGAATATAAGCCAGAGTATTTTAATATTGCTTCAAAATAGTAACATGCAATACCAGGGGACCAGGGTGGCTTCACAAACTTACCCAATTTACTTGAATATAAGACAACCCTGAATTTAGGATGACTCCCACAATAATTAGATTCTATATATGGAACATTTATAAAATGTTATAAAGTTTCCCAGGTACACAATCTAAGAATTGGAAGGTTGCCTTGAATCCTCCCCCCACCCTGCTACAGTGGGGGGAGGGGGGGAGAGAATAACACAAAATCAGTGGCTGGGGTTAGGGAGAAAATCAGGTGCACCACCCACTTCTTCCCCCTGTAGTCTTCTTGTACCCTGCCACCTGCACCCTGCTCCAGCTCCCCACAGCTTCTGCCCCTTTCCCCCTGCTCCCCAATCTCTCCCCCCCACTCCCCCTTACTGTCAGACACCGCTCAGGCTGCTCCATCTCCGAGCACAGCAGTGGAAGCTCAGCCTTTGCCTGGCCACGCAAGTGTCGGCACTGCTGACTGGCCAGACAGGGGAAGGAGTTTCTATGCCCAGGAGAGATGCCAGCCTGAGCTGGAGCTCAGCTGCTCCTGAGACTAAGGGGGAGGGAAGGGGTGGGTGGGGGGTAGAAGCTGCAGAAGGGAAGTGGAAGGCATGGAGCAGGTGACTACTGTGTCTGACTGGCCCTGACCCAGGCTCAGGGCCAGAATCAGAGCTGCAGCAGCAGCCGCCACCTGTTGCCCCCTCCACTTTGAGATTAAGACTAGGGCTCTCCCCCTGTCAAATGCTGATGGGGGGGAGAGTTGTTTTATATTTTAGTAAATACAGTATACATGTGGAATAACAGGGCTGTATTTTCAGTAGCATGAATTTTAGTCAGGCAAAGAAGCCCTTTCAGAAGCAGTGTGGGGAAGAAGGGTGGGGAAGTCATCAAGCCAGGATAAGAATGTTTCACAGATGGAATACTTATTGGAAATTATTTCATGATGTGCACATTTTAAATATTAGCTTCAGTTTTTCAAGTTAAAGTATAAAACAGAGGGATTAACAGATGTTTACTACTACTAATGAAAAACAACAAGTTATCTGCATTAAGGAGATGTAAAAGCACTTTACCTGTTTTATAACTCTGTGATCTGTATATATCCCTGAGCTCTTTCATAAGTCGATCTGAAGCCTGAACTGACCCAGAGACTGCACCCTGAAATAAAAATGGCAACACTGAACACCAGGAACTTTGCTTGCATTGTTAATGGTTGGAAAAAAACAAAACGAAAGAAAAAAAAATCTATACAGCTATGGAACTTATGCAACTGTATTAAAAAAGGTACCACACGATGATAGGTAGGGTTACATTGGATTTAAAAAAAAAATAAAAGCTTATCACAAAGGTTGAGACAACTGAGTATCCATAAAGTCAGAAAACCAGAAGAATTAAGCCTCTCACAACAACAGCTTGGCAACAATACCCAGATCCTATAAATTATGGAATCATTAAAATGCAAACATTTAACAAGGCAAACAGTACAAGAACATCCAGCAGAGCTTTTGGAAGTGCAAAATTCCTCTCTAGGAGTAGATTTAGAAAAAAAAAAAAATCAAGTTCCTCAAATAGAGTGCAGGTGGAAGAGCTGCAAATCTGTGGAATTTAGGACCTGTACAGAGTCAAGGGGCACATTTTAGAAACCAACACATTCTAGTGCAGAGGTTTTCAACCTTTTTTCATTTGTGGACCCCTAAAAAGTTTCAAATAAAAAGTACAGTCCTCTGATTTTTAAGTGTGGGTATTCACATACTTTTGACTGATCATAGTCATCTTTTGTAGACCCCTTAGACATGATTTGTGGACCCCCACGAGGTCTGCGGACCTCAGGTTGAAAACCACTGTTCTAGTGGTTCCAAACAAGACTGTTAGCTTTAAACATCTGTACCTTTAAAGCTACTTAGTAGGAGAGCTCTCTTTTTTTAAAAAGAAACCACACATTTCTTGTTGTAAAATAGCTATACATCTAGATACTTGGCTATACAAACAATCATTTTGATCACTGCGCACAGAAAAAAAAGGTTTCTCTTCTCCCCATTCAAGTACTTGTAATTTAACTGAAATAATCTTCTTAAAATAAATTGCTTTAGAAAGGGTGTTTTAAGCCAAGACAACACAGTAGTAATTAAGAAAAGAATTTTAAAGGTTTATAAACAACTGAGAAGACAAAAAACTTTTCAGAAGCTAGAATAAATCTTAACTATAGGGCTCAGTGGGTAGCTTTAATAAAGTAATGAAATAACAAAAAGGTTATACAGCCATTTACCCAAAACCCAGAATCTTTTACACTTACCAATATAATTAAAGGGGGAGGGGGAGGAGGAAGGGAGTAGAGATTTTTAAATCACCCCTTCTAAAGAACACTGTGAACAAACACTAGCTCATATTCACACCTATTACAGAATTGGGTTGATTTACTTTGAGATCACTCTCCGGTCAAATCATGTGCCAGATTAAACTATGGGGAAAAATGGAGAAGAGATGGAAGTTAGGAGACTTTCAAAACTCCATTAAGCAGAGACACAAAGGGGGTTATTTCTGTCTTGCAGTACCTACATTAGAACTACCCTGTTTTTCACTGTGCAAAAGGATGCAATTGATGAAACCAGTCAAAACCAAAGCATCCATTTTGTCCATCTTTGGTTCAAGCCCATAGACTCTTCAATCGTTCTCTCCCAAAATAAGATACAAAATGTAAACACAGGTCTTACATGTCAGGATAGGGCAAATGTGGAAATCAAAATGAAGAGCTTAAGATTCTAGGAGTAAAATTCTATTCCATCTTCAGGAGTGTATTTTGCTTTCATTTTGGTGTAAGCCACAAATCTGAGAAACTCTTTCAACAGAAACACTAGTTTCAAGGTAAAGTGGGGACAATTAAGGAAGCGTTGCAAATCCTTTGAGGTGGTGAAATGTCAAGAAACTTGGTACATGTAGTGAACGCATGTCAAATTTGCTTTTTAACTATAATGTTCAGAAATTAAACTGCAGTTCTCTCCTCTCTTCTACACAGAAGGGATATTAAAATAAATCAAACTACCAAAAATTTAAAAATAACTCAGTTTATTTTTACTGTAACATTTTCTAATGGTTAGAATTCCTACAGGTGGATTACAGCAGAACACAATGTCTTTGAAATCTGTCCTACAACTGTTTTCATGTCTACCATTTAATGAATTATGTTGAGCGTACAAGAAATATAGGCTCATGGTTATACCTTTTCCTCCCTTGATTTTATAGTCAGGTGTGAAGAGTGCCTGAGGTTATTAATCCATTTTTTTCAGTTGCCTGGATATTAAAAAGGGCTCATTTGTATCCAAAATTATTAAACAACACCTAAATTACTCAATGTGCTGACTAGATAATGCCCAGACGTGTCTTTCATTAGAACAACGAGTACTGGAATTAGAATACTCCAAGCTCCAATTCCAAGGGTGACATTTCAATAAGCTCAAGACATTCTCTTAACCTCTCTGCCACAGTTTCTTGATCTCGGAAGTAGGGATATTTCCATCTTAAAAAGGTGAGGTAAAGATTAATAAAAATTTGTGAGCAAACATGGAGATAGAAAATGCTACATAAATATCAAGTTCCTCCTTTTTAGGTTTTTCTTTTAATTCTGGTCATCACAGACTTCAAGATAGCAAGGTTAAGTTTTAAATATTTATCACAACTGCTTGCATGCATTCAAGTCTATTTACATTTTATATTCAAGCTTCTTGGGGGAGAAAATGGAAAGGAACTGGGGGGGGGGGACAAAACCCCCAAGCCTCATGCCCCTTAAATTTAAACCCTCCAAAAAAAGTAAGGTTGTTGCCATGATGATCCAGGAAATAAGTGATAAGCAAAGATATTTGGCGATATATTTTATTGGATCAACTGTATTAGTTGAGGAGATATACTAGACATGGAAAGTTTCAGACAAAATCCACTTCCTTGTCTAACATCTCCCCCATCTATACAGTTAGTCCAATAAAAGATAAAATCACACAATAACCCTACTTTCTAGCAAAGAAAGTAAGGAAACCATTACTTCTTTCCCTGCATCCTCTGGATCTTCCAAAAAACCCATTTGTTTTTCCTGGTTTTTGCATGGCAGCCAACATGTTAGAGGAAGTATATTTTATTAGACACACAAAATCTCACTGAAATGCCACATACAAAAGAATTAAGGACCTATATAATGTTAATGAACTTATGTGGGCTTTAACAGGGTTGTTACTAGCAATTTCAGTGCCCTAGGAACAGATGCTCTTGTATGCTGAAGAACAGGAGTGCTGAGCGCTGCAGGATTCTGCTGCCATTCCCTCTATATCAGCACCTGGGGCTACTGCCCTGTTCACTTCACCCCTAGGCACTCTAATGGGCCTTAGATACCCTGATGCACCAATAATTTGGAAGGAGTTTGCTGCTTTGGCTTCCTGAGAACACTATGAACAGCCAGCAAACAGGTCTTTTCTGTATACAGCAAATGAAGATAAAGTTTGGGCAGGAATCAGATTGAAAAACATTTACTATTCAAGTATTTGATGTGTCATTCTAGCATGCCTGAAGCGAATAGAAATATGATATACTTACTTAGTGTTAAAGGAAGAAAGACTATGCAGAACTGACTTAATTTACTCCCTTGCCTTGTTAATGAAAATAAGGATCAACAACAGTTAGGAGCCATGTTAAAAGACTGCATTTTCTTCTGCCTGGTACTTGCAGTGGTAAGCTATAGGCTGGGGCAAGACACTAAGGTAGTGATTTTCAGCCACAGTGCTACAGCACCTGGGGGTACCGCACACCTGTTGGGTGTACAAACACTTGCACATGATTTGTAAGATAAACCCACAGGTTTCAAAACAAGAATCCACAGTGTCAAAAATATGCTCTGGAACAGAAGAATTGCTCTATAAATTGTCCACAGATATGTTTCTATTCCATTTTCAAGAACCAAGTGAAACCTAAGAGCTGGCATTTTCCAAGAGCTACCCAAGGAGACTGCTGTATTATGGGTCTAGAACATTCCTTTTGGGCTATTCAATTTGAAAATTGAAAATATGGTCTGCAATTACATACTCCATGGAGAATCTCCTTAATTTGATATGCAAAAGTGCACACAATGAGAGGTATCCATGGAGGCCATGGCTCATTTTGCAGTAGTCCTTGCCTTCTTAATGAAACAGCTGGGTAGAAGGTAGAGCTACTGTGCTCTCACAACCACAGATTCCAAATAAAGGCTACACTGAAGAAAGTTCAGTTTGCTCTAGAATAATATTTGGAATCCAAAACTAAGGTTGGTTAGACAAGGGAAAAGTGTCAACATAATACAATTACCTGATCTCTCATCACATTCTGTGGAATTGTTACATCAATAAAGTGGAAATATTTACTTACAAGAACACTTTAGCTAAAAGTGCTCATGTACCCTACTGGGAAGCTGGAACCTACTTCTTCCAAGTGTGATAATGCACCTTTTTTCTATTCTCCAAGATTTTTTAATTCTCATTTGATATTTAAGTGGGAGCTATCAGAGGTTTAGAATAAGTCTGAAGAGATTATGTGAAGGCTATAAGTATGGACATAGCACATGAGACAATGTAAGAGACCTAACGTGACTGATGCTTTAGTATGGGCATCTTAAAAGTTAACATTAGCAAGAATAAAGTTTAAAGTGTTGCTTTTGTTTTGCAGGTGCCCAAAACCCCAGAAAACCAAAAAAATCTAAACCAAGTCACAGCAGATTAATAAATTACGTTTTTTGTTTTTTGTTTTTTTAAATGTCTGCTAGGTCAAGACCACTGTACAAAGTGACACTGGATTTGAGCTGTTGCTGCACCAGAACTTGCAGGAGACAGTTTAAGGTTGGCACCCATGCTTCTGGCAAAATCAAATCAAATTGCACTATTCTTGCTGGACATGTATTCTAGTTGACATTTTGCCCCCTCCTTTACAGGCAAAAAAAAAAAAATAAAAATCTAATCCAGGGCCTTGCTCCTCAGACTAAGCATTTGGAGGAGCAGGGGTAAATTCAGGAACACATTTTTACTGCAATCTGAAGTTGTATAGTAGAGTGAGTGGGTGCATCTACATGTTCATTTAATGCCACGCAATAAATTCTGGAGCCGTTTGAGCTGAAATCAACTGCTCTTGGGCACAGCATCTACACGTGT